AGAATCAAATGGAAAAGAACGCGGAGAAAGAAATGGAAACTGTGGCTATATTGGGCTTGGTAGTTTATAGGGTTCGGGGTTTGGCGTTGAGGGTAAATATGTTGGTTATGTAGGGTTATATAGGGATCATGGAAGAGAAAATGGAAACGACTATTATTTGAGTACTATGTAGGGGTGGGGCTATATAGGAATAATGAAGCATTAAATTGAAAATGAGATGGAAGCATTGTATATAGAGTATAGAAGGATTATTATGGTAGTTTCCCTAATTAGGGGGACCCCGGTACAAACCCCAAAATACCATAGTGCTTATTATTGGGACCCCCAAAGAGGTACCCATGATTTGGAAAAACCCCCGCTGTGTTCCAAGACGGTTTGCATTGACGATGCCTCGCCACGCAATTATCAAGAGAATCGTGGGCCGTTCCGCTGCTTAATACGGATACCAGACCCTCGGCAATGACTCAAGATGTACAAAAGAAAGGCCTAGAATGATACGTATTTCCCACGGCATCAACCTGCAGCATGCTGCCAACAAAGGATGTTGCTGAATGAAATGCTTTTGGGGGTTTAGGGTTGTTAGCTGTTAGTAGAGAATGTAAAGTCCAATGGGGACCGCATGAACAAATGAAATGAAACTAGAGGCTTATAGTTTAGGGGGGCATTTTGTTTGGGGTGACTTGCTGGTGGTGGACTGAATCAGTCCGGTCCTAACTATCGGCCTTATGTGGGTCCAACTTGTTTCCTGGCTGGATCCTCACCACGGACCCTTAGTTGGGTTAGTGGGGTCCTGTTGGGTATGTAATGGGTGTACAGTATACAGAAGCACAGAATTCTGAACCCATACTAGGTTCCCTGACCCTCTGCTTTCTGAATGGCTTTCTCATGTTTTTACAGCACCGCTTGGCGCCCAAACGCAAACCTTCCAAAGAGGCCATGCATCAACACGGGGGGAAGAGGATTTCCTGGCTTCAGGAGCCTGCGCCGGCAAGGGATGAGACTCTTCAGGGCCTCTTTGGCCAATTGCAGTCTTGGAGGATTTATTTCTAGCCAAAAGTCTTCTTTTGGCGGAGTATTAGGAGAGGTTTTAACCTTACTCTTCTTTTTCTATTTTTATTAGTATGATTATTAACATTACTTTATTCAGGGGAGGCTTGGATTTGTTGGCCTCGGTTTGGGCAGTACGTATCACACTACTGCGCGTGAGAAGGTCGAAGGCGACAGTGTCAATTGAGAGGCCAGACAGAATCTTTGGATGTTTGGCGTGTATCGTGGAAGAGAGACTAGAGCTAAGGGCTTAAGGATGGACGAACACGTGCTGATACAATCCACCATCCAGATCCACGAGCCAACGTGAGATGAGCTAGCTGATTTCTGGTTACCGCGATACTGCTGAGCAGTGATTCTGAAGCAACAGACCCGGAAGCCCTGTCCGCGTCTTCTTCCGAATCAGATTTGTCATCCTCAGCTGCATTTCTCAGTACGAGGTCCCTCCGCGGAACTGTTAACTGTGAGGTTCCCCTGCTTTGTTCCTAAAGACGAGTGAGGTGGCCCTGCGGACATCCCGCTGCCAAGCCCCCCAGAGGCCTGTGCTCAGCCTGTGTGGATAGCTTGCTGCGATCGAATCTTAGTGTGCTTGTCGCTTGTACTACACTGCACTATCATGTTCCGGTAAGTGGCACCATCGCTGATACGACTGCTTTGCAGCTACAAACACTGGTCCTGCCATTTGTACGCCAAAGAAGGCAGAAAGCAGGTTTCATGGAAGGGACAGGCAGCCGGGCTCCTCAATCCGCACTCTGATCCAAACTGCCCATGCATCAACATCCAGCTGCATAATTTTCATCTCGTTGTCACTTTTTCGGGAAGGATAGGATGGCAGCTAGCATTGTGGTCTACGAAACTGTCAGAAACCGTGCAGGCTGCTGGAAGATTCCCAACGCAACGCCGCAAGTAGGATCCTGTCTTTAAGGATGAGCAAAGATGGACCACAACGTGACCTTTGATATGAACCCACCTGCAACTGCTTGCTTGGGGTCGGCTAGGGACGGTTTCCCGAACGTACCTTGTCGCTTGCACATGAGCAGGAACGACCTGAGGATGACGCTGCAGCGAAGAGCGTCCTTGCTGGATTTCGTTTGGACAAGCAAACAAACACTATGTTCTTGGGAGCTATCTGCATTTATGCAAACCCTCTGAGCACGAGATGTGTTACTTTTCCGTGTGGCTTGTACCAGAAGAAGCCCAAACTTCAGGTACGGTGTGTCATAGCTTTCAGGAGCATCCATCTAAGGCCCCGAGCCTGCAGCTCTTGTCGCACAACTAGATTCGCCAGCCGCGGAGAGTCAGGTTGCGGAACGGACGACACAATGGCAACATGCGTAGTATGAGGGGAACAAGAATGCGTACTGTAGTGGTAGAAGCACCGGTGGTTGTCTTTACTTCTTCGACGTCTTAACATCCCTCGTGCGCGTCTTCTTCATGTCGTTTTCCCTCCTGTTACCTCCTCCTCCTCCTCCGACTCCCCCTCCTCTCCTCCTCCTCCTTTGGTTTTTCGTTGGTCTTCCTTGATGGCTTGTGGCCTACAAGTCTTCCCAAAGCCGCACTCATCATGGCTCCAGCTGTGGTTTGGGGTGTGCGGATGACGCGAGCATACGCGAGCTGGTAACATCGTAGTAGCAGGCACTTGGCAACTTCAAGCATCGAATCTCTTCACATTTTGGCAGAAGTCGATGGAGCAAGCCTTGTCTGTTTTCTTGGCCACAGAAGACTCCACTCCTGAGTCCCCTCTTCAAGGTCTCATTAGCTACCTAGCTATGCCCAAGCATGCCAAAGACAGAAGACCTTGGTTTGGGAGCGCAGGTTCAGGGCCCTGCGGTGCTGCCACTCGTGCCGCCAGACAGCTCCTTGAAAGCCTTATACCAGCATAGCACATTAGATTGACATTGGTCTTGGCCTGAAGGGTGTGGCTAGATCGGCTAGACGTGATAGCAAGAGTGACCAGACCAAAACTTAGTCTTGGATGGCTTTACGCACCTTGTTCCCATCTGAGGTCAGCAAGCTGTAGCCGACTCATTGTCCCAGAGTAAGGCGGGGATTGCAGCAGAGCTTGAGCAACTCACTTGGCGGAGCTTGGCGCCCACTTCCCGTGCAGGCAGCTCTACCCGAAGTGGCGGATGCTACCAAGGCCAGGCAAATACTCGTCATGTGGCTGCAGTTTTTGAACTGTTGTCATGCTATGCAGAGATCAACAAACGCTGGCCAGCCACTTCTTCCGCTAGCATTGGATCTGAGGTATATTATAGTGTACTATAATATACTATATTGTACTGTAACATACCATAGTGCACTGCATTGTACTATAATATACTATATTGTAGTGTATTCTAATATACTATATTGTACTATATTGCTCTGCATCATTGTACTATAATATACTATATTGTAGAGAATCTGCATCAACTCTTTGGTCACCCAGAGCTTAAGCAGGAGACCGTCCCAGCAGTGGCTCTGTCCCCAGGAAGTTACCTCGCTGCAGGAAGGGAAGGGGGGTTCTTTAGGGATCATGGGGTTTATAGGGGTTATATGATATGGGGATTAAGTAGGGTTTAGGGTTTAGGGATAGAGTACCAAAATGATGGAGAATCACATGGAAAAGAAAATGGAACATGAAATGGAAACCCTAGGTCCCTTTAAGGGGGTATAAAAGGATGTTAGCCCCAATAATGGAGAGCCAAATGGAAAAGACAATGGAAACTGGATTTATGTAGGGATTAGGGGATGAGGATTTTGGGTTGAAGTGCGCATTTCAAGCCAACAACAGTCTCCAACAACAGTGACAAAGTGCATCATGCCATTGGGAACCCGTGTTGTTTTTTGCTGTTCGGTCTCTTTTGTTGTTGGGTCGCTTAAAGGCGAGCCAGGCAGACGGGTAAGTGAGTGAACTCCCGTCCTCCGCCCAAACAGCAAAAAAAAACACGCCCCCGGCCCAAA